CTATCATGCCACGTGGCAAGTTCAATCGTATGTGTCATACATTTGGGGGGTGCAAGTTGTCATAAAAGTAAATTACATGCATTTTTATAGTTTAGCATGATTTTTCTCCTATAAATTTTCTTGCAAAACAAACACTGGAAAGTGGATTTTCTCACAAAAATTTTCTCAGCAAACAAACACATCATAACTAATTGAGAAAATAAATTTTCCTCTTCTCATCCCAACCTTTCTCTCATCCCATCCTTTCTCAGTCCAATTTTCTCAGCAATCAAACAGACCCTTGTAGACTACATCATCAACGAGAAAAGAAATGACTATTTGACCTGTCAAACATTGTTTGATTTGGTTCAAAGGGTGGCATTAAAGTACACTTTAACACTCCAATACTGTAGAATTTCAGCTCAATCTAACATGTGAAAGTGCCCCAACTAAAGACCAAGTTGGCTGGATTTTGTGTTATGAAAGTCATGGTCAAAGTCTTAGTCAACAACCTGACCAATATTTATAGAAATTTTCGTCATTACTATTTATAGTAAAAGATGACATTATTTTTAGTAATTTTGGGTTTCTTATGCTTAGTGGAATTAGGGAGTTATAGTGTGTCCTAGTTTGAAAAGGAGGCTTTCTACTTTTTGTTTTAAGTGTGAATACAAATAGGAGTTAGAACCTTGGAGTCTAAGAGTTGGAATTTAGAATCCAATTACGAGTTGGAAGTGCTACTTTGTGTCTATAAAAAGGTATCAGCAGATCTTGAAAAAAGCAATCTATTCCATTGAATTGAATAAAGAATTCTTTTATTTTCTGGTTCTGCCACAGCCAGCAGCTATAGTAGAATTAAGTCTTGCTTCCTCTTCTATTTTCCCTTCTTTATTTGTTTGTTAATACTTGTGGCTGAAGCCTATTGTTGAATCTGATCTAAACAAGGAACAGCCTTAAACTTGTCACCAGGAGCGGAGCCCCCGGCCCAGCCATTAGACTCAAAAAAAAAGCAAAAAGCGCAAAATTTTAAAAACGTGCACACCTGGGCTGAGGCGCAAGGCGCATCAGGCACACGCCTAGGCGCACCAGGCGTGCGCCTTTTGAAAGGGGTGCACCTAGGACCTGGGCAAGGCGCATACCCCAAAATGCGCCTCACCTATGTGCCTAGGCGCGCCTTTTAAATCACTGGTTACAGACATTTTAAATTTCAACTACTTAATGACCCAAGCGGTTTCATGAAACCGGAACTGGTTTACTAGTTTTCCAGTTAAACCAGCCAGTCAACCGGTTTTCACCAGGTTTTTAGTTATTACAGTTCTTGGGCTGTGAACGAACCGGCCAGGGCCCTCACATTTAACCAGTCTGGTTTTCTCAACACTGATTTTGTTCTATCCACCAAACTAATGACTTGAAACCAGAATCCCCCAAATCTCTTCTAAGACCAAAACACCAAGAAAGACTTCATTGGCAAAGGTAACCATCAACTAAATGGTTTTGCAATTGTCAAAAAAAAATGGTTTTGCTTGTTTTTGTTTGTGAGTAGGGCATACTGGCACAGAGGTTCATCTCCCCACCACAAGTCTTCCAAAAATATCACAATTAACCCCATGATGAGACCATACAAATTAATGACATACATGTTCAGAGTCCCTCAAATCTCTTCTAAGACCAAATCCCAAAAAAGACCTCCTTTGGCAAAGAAAAGCATCAAACAAATGTTTTTATTTCTGTTTGTGGATAGGGCATAAATTCTAGTGTGTAGGCCTAGTACAAAGGTTCATCTCCCCACCACAACTATTCTCAAATCTCATCACATGATGAGGTCTTACATGATATGTGGTGAAAAAGAAGGGAAAATAGTCATGATAGCCCTCCATGGGCACCTCCTAGTAAAAATATTTTTTAATGTTAACTAAGATTATCTATGAATTCAATAAAAAGAATATTATGTACAAGGTGAGTGGCAGCACTCTGTACCCTCCCATTAAAAATATGTTCATGTCATCTTCACAAAACTATAGGCAGTTCATATCTTCAATTTTGATTCTAGCCACAGATTTGTTTTTCAACAACCCCCTCCAGCATGCAAAAAGTCCAGCATTCCATCTAAGATCATAATGCAAACCAAAAGTACTAGCACTTACAATCACAAATGCAGGTTTGGAGCTGCTTGCATCTGCTACAAAGAAGTCTGATTTTTCCCACCATGCATACCATCTAGATCATTGAAAGGGGACCACAAGGAATAAAAGAGATTACAAACATGAGCTGATATAACATACAAAAGGAAGAGAATAACTTGATACTTACGATTTCTCTACTGCAGCTGGACTGTATTGTTTTGCCATTTGACGAGAAAGTCTCTTCTTCTCACCAATGGGAGTCTCTGGATCAAAATAATCCTCAGGGTTCTCTTCCCCTGTATCTCTCTTTGGATTTCTCCGTTCGCTCTTTTTTGGGGCACTGGATGACTTTTGTGCCTGGTCAATACCACAGAAGGATAATCCATGTTCCATTATAAATACCAAATACACAAGTTGCTTTTAATAATCAATAAAGGCAGTGACTTCCACATCAAAGGCTCTAAATTAAAGGTATGTCCATCCAGAAAGCCACAGAACCATAAGTTATTCCATAATAGGAAACATCATAAAACATGTTATCTTTACCTGAAGTTTAGCTGCTTCTGCTTTCTGTGCAGCCTTTAGTTTTTTCAATTCTTTCTCTTTTGCCTGCCATGGAAATAAACATCATAGTCACTTTGAAGTGGATGATCATAGTAAAACAACAACCAAGTAATTACAGAGCACTAAAAAGAAAAAATAATCAATCAGAGATCTACAGTTGAAAGATATGTTGATTATCAAACACATAGAATTACCAACCACAGGTTCAACCCAAAAGATTGATTTGTCCGGTTACATTTATGGGCTACTAAGACCTAAGTGCCAATTTAAATGCAAACATCATAGTAAAATAACAGCCAAGTAATGCTAGACCACTTAGAGTGTGGTTGCTAATGTAAATTTTTTGTGTATCAGTTGATTCCAGAACATGCCACACCTAGCGGACATTTGTTTGAGGGTATTGCACATTCTAAATCCATCTCAGATAGATCTGATCCACAAAATATTGTCCATTTTTGTCCTCGTTAAAATATTGCGACGCATCATCAATCACATAGCTGCAATTGAAATATATATTATATAGACACTTAAAATATACACAAAACAAGCAACCACGGGTCCAATCAGAATTATTGGCACTCTGAACTGTCATTGCAGTTCTAAGACGCTAAGTGGTTATTTAAATGTGAAAGTCATCAATGGGGATTGGGGCTTTTGCAGACTCTGTTTTAGGAACATTGGAAATATGATAATGTGTGACAGTGCCTCCACCTACTATATGCAATCCATACAAATCCCAGATCCCATAGCAAGAAAAAACACAGAATCGGTTTTTCACTTGGCCTACTCAGATAAAAATTGATCCAAACGTAATTCAGCAGCTCACTTTTGTAGGTCTAAAAACCTACGGTATTTTACAAGGATAGCAAATGTAATATCTAGTGCTTAAAATTGCTAGTGTTCAAACATCTTGAATAACAAATAATAGATGCATAATCCTGGTAAATTGCTTATGAGTTTCTTTTATTGAATTTACTATTGATTAACAATAAGAAAGCCATAAGTTCAGGACAAAAAACAATAAACACCAACAGCTATGTAATCAGAAATCAATTGCAGATATAATTTGTGTACAAAGGCACATGACATAGTGAGTGTACGAGAAATGAACATGGGAATTGTAGATGACCTTCTCTTCCTTCTTTTTCTTTCTTTCAAGGTCTTCGGCCCCTGGTTCCACCTACAATTGAGAGAATTGCAGATTGACAATTAGAGAAAAAAGGATTAAGTTTCTGTTTTGCACTGAGAAAATTAGAAACTGAGTTTCGATTTTCTGTGCCAAGAATCAATCACGTCACTAACCATGTTCTCGTCTCGAGCCAGAACCAGTCACAGAGTCGACACAATAAAAATCTGCAATAAATGGAAAGAAGTCGGGAAACAAACACCAAAGCGAGCTCGATCAGGTTTTGGGAAGAACAAGTGAACAGCAACAGTAGAACGTAAAAAAAAAATTCTTCTGCTTTAACGTCCGACTCAGTTTTGTGGTTTTATGTCTGAGTACTCTAATCTAGCTAAAACCCTAAGAAAGCTTTGGTGGCTGCTGTCGTTGGTTTATAGACAGTTATTAGCGTCTACGTACAAAATTGCCTGCGTCTAGTAGTGGCCTAGTGGGGTACTCACGGTTCGGTTATACGGTTCGATTAATCGCACCGGTTTTACAATTTTGTTTTTTTTCGAATGCACCGGTTCTTACGGTAAACCGAACCGAAACAAGCAGGTTTATTTTTATTAAAATAAACCAATCCATTCACCTGAAATCAATTTTTTCATTCCAAAATAGCAGAAAAAATCAACCTGCTTTATATGATACATTTTTCCGTAAAAAATCAATCAACCTCATCATTCTCTCAAAAAAACCTCTACATCCATGATCATCCATTGACCAATCTAAACCAAAAATGAAAAACCTATGCATCCATTAACATCTAATGAATCTAATGATACATTTATCATTGAAACCTATATCGTTGTACATGATACATATATATCATAAAAAAGGGCAAACTTCTTAAACTATCCTTATGGCTTAGTTAACTGACTAACTCTCTGCCTTTACTATTTACATTTTGTCTTAAAGTATCCCCTAAGCGGATGTTTGGCATCGTTGTCATTTCCTGGAGCAACGGCGCCACATCAGTGCCACATCGAAAAAAATAGTGCTCTAAGAAACGGGCATTTGTTTGGAACCGTTTCTCCTTAAAAATTGGTGCTCCAAGCCACGCCTTGGAAATCGGAAAGCAATGGCTTGGAGCAACGCTAAATTTGGCGTTTCGTGGAGCTATAGCTCATTGCTGCCAATAGGGCAGTGATATGGCACTGATGTGGCACTGGATACTGGGTACCAGTGCTGAAAACGTTTCCTTAAAGCATTGGTACCAAATAGAAAAAATTGTTGTTGCTCCAAGTAATGTCCTACCTGGCAGCAACCATTCCAAACAAAAATAAAGGCAAAGAAAACGGTGCTTCCAACCACACATCAAATGCATCTGCAGCATCGATGCCAAACATATACTAAATTTTTTGAGAATTGTCAAAAACCTCATTTCCATTAACATCGGTTAACAGAGAGACGAAAAAGACTACTTTACCCATTATCCTTCAATTTTTAATATGAAAGAGGAAAAAGGGAAAGAGAGAACTAGGGTTGACATAGATGTAGAACTAGGGTTGACATAGATGTAGAACTAGGGTTGAGCTCAAGACAAAAGGGGAAGCAACAAAGCCGATTGTTCAAACTTACAAAATTTTTGGTGTACAATACATGGTGAATGTGAGTCTTACCTTAGCTCATTTTGGACTGTTGGATGCATGCATGTAGTTGTTTAAACTATAGACCACCTTTTTATTAGTGACTTCTGATGAAATAAGAAATACGCATATGAGAAGATTGGCTTTTTTTTTTTTTCCTTTTTTTAGTCAGAATTCAATTATGAACAAGCACCTAGACATCAAAATGACTCATTCCAAAGCTTCCTTCTTCCTTAGATACAAGCCAAAATCCAGATGATTAAAACCAAACCATAACCCCCCCAACTCTTTCACTTCCCCTGTTCAGCCACTGCCGGTGCAATACCCAACACCCAACCAACCATTGGTTTGGGTGACGATTTCCTGACTAATAGATCTGAAAATTTAAAAGCTAGAAAACCCAAATACATAGTAGAGAAAGCATTTAAATCCAAAAATTACTGATTTCCTATCTCCCCTCATAATCGACTTTGAATTGGGTTAAACTTGTTCTATCAATATTTGGGTTCATCACAGACCAGACACAGGGTGGTTAACGTCTTAGCGAGTTAGTTACATCTACCATCAGCACTCGACACTGGTGGTGGCGTCTATATTTTGGACCCCATCTCCATTTATCTATTCTCTCATTCTACTTCTAACCTCATTCCTCTTTTACGTTTTTCTGCAAAACCTCCTCGCATTCTCTCAAACCAAACCGAGTGAAATACACAGATCAGATCTCATCAATGGTTGTCGCGTCTGTTGCTTTTCATGCACGCTGTGAGGAAAAACGTTTACATGGTGAAACTCACCAAACAAGTAAAACGATATGAAGAAATGGTCAAGTTCGTGGAAAAGGTGACGGCCACTGTGGAGGCCGAGGAGCGTAACCTCCTATCCATCCCCTACAAAAACGTCATCTCTGCTCATCGCGCTTCCTGTTACAAATAAAATGGTGCAAATAAAAATAAAGAAGATGGCGGAGTCCACCAATTCATGATCCCCGTGAAGGCTTCAGATCTTTCGTTTCATTTTACTATCATTTCCTTGTTTGAACTGCAGATATTCAAACATATCTAAAGTCAGTGGCTCCATCTCTTAACAAGAAAGTCAAATCAGAAATATCAACAGATGGAGCTCTTATTTATGAACATCTTGTTAATATTCGGCACCTTGCTACGATAGAGAAGGAGGGGAGAAAGAGGGAAAAGAGAAGGGCTTTGGACAAGCTCGTGATTTTGGTTGGGCTGAGAGATGAAGGGTATTATTGGGTTTTAAAAAAGATTTATATGTCAAGAGGTGTCGGATTTGTACGGATTTTGACAAAACATTAACAAACATTAATGATGGGGTAGAACTATTCAATTGTGAGAAAGAAATAGTAGGAGTGGTTTAAGACAATAGTGAAACAATAACTGTATAATTTTTCAATTTAGCTAAATAGTAGGAGTAATTTTTGAAATTTGCCCAAAAAAATCAATCAGCATGCACAATTTTAATCAATTTAACAAAACAAACAGGTACATGTATTAACTTGTATTGTTGAACATGATACATTAACATTTAACCAATATAACCCAAAACCAATAAACTTGTATCATAAAAGCATTAAACATTCAACCTAGGGATGGCAACAGGGCGAGTTCGAAGAGGATTTTGTAAATTCTAGACCTTACTTGCCTTCCTAAGCCTCCCAACTAGGGTTGTACATGGGTTGGTTCAGTTCGGATGCACACAAATTTTCCAACCGAACCAAACATCTCAGGTTGACTGTTACATCAATCGAAACCAACAGGAATAGAACAAGAACCGAAGTATAATAGTATGTCTCGGTTTGTCGGTTTGATCGGTTTATACCAAACCGAGTAACTCTTTACCTTAGTCTTGATTTGATTTGGCCCACAATCCAAGGAAACTGATCTCTTCAGAGTTTAAACATGTAAATAACTAAATATTTTATTCTTTTGTTAATAGTTTAGACAATGGGTAGAGAGTACAACCTATACACCCCTAAAAAACCTAATATTATTGCTTTATAATTAATTATTATTTAATTATTAATCTCTCTCTCAAAACAACATATTATTATTATTATTATCATTTTTTTAAGTAAATCAAGAATAAATATGAGATATGAGAGAGAACAACTAATAGGTTTGACTTTTGAAAGAGAATAATAATGCCTAGAGACTAGGGGTCAAGTCACTTCTCACTTATACAATGCCTAAGGGCTATGCTAGGTCTCACTTATACAATGTCTAGGGGCTATGCCTAAGGATCAGACCTTCACACCAATCAATAATTAACTGCCTCTTACAAATTGGGAAGTGGGAATTGATTGCCTCTTACAAATTGGGAAATGAGAATTGACTGCCTCTTACGAATTGGGAAATGGGAACTGAAACATGGGAATGGTTAAGTTAAGGTTACATGTATTATTAACATGTACTCGGTTCGGTTCGGTTTTATTTTGATTTACAGATTTATAAACTGCAACCGAACCATTCAATCAGGTTATGCTTATTTCTAAATCGAAACCAACTGGCTTGTTTGAGAACCGACCACCATCGGTTCGAGTTGGATCGGTTTGGGTCGGTTTGTTCGGTTTTTATACTAGTGTGAACAGCCCTACTCCCAACCCATACCCGCCCCAAAACCCATAGTGGGTTGGATTTTGAGAATCCAAACCCTCCTCACATGAAAATGCAAAGCCCTCCCCAACTATTCCCTCCCGCATTCAAGGGTAGGGGTGGGTTGGGTTTAGAACCCGCATCTAATTTCCTATTATTTCTTGTCACATATAAGCAATAAATAAGTAAAATAACACAAATATACAACAAAATTTCCAATTATTTGATTAAGACATGTTGAAAACACATAAACTATCAATTATCCTTCACATAAAATTCAAAATATTATTAAATTCAGCACCTAGTACATAAAGTTTATATGCTTTTCAACAATATGCGGGTCAGGGAGGGTCAGGTTTAGCCTAATACAGTACCCTACATGTACTTGTATAGGTTGTAGAATCCAAAACCCGCCATTCAAACAAAAAAAAAAAAAAACCACCCTGTCTGGGAGGGTAGGGGCAGATACCCACTGGGTAGGGTACAATTTCAATCCCTTATTCAACCTATATCATAAAAGTATTACCCATTCAACCTATATCATAAAAGCATTAACCATTCAGTTTGTACCATAGAAGTATTAACCATTCATTCATTCAACTTGTATCATAAAAGTATTAGCCAATAAACTTATGTCATAAAAGTGATAAGTTGGTAACCACTAACCAATAAACTAATCAAGGTCTACAACCATAAAATTCAAGTTAAATATCAAACATTCAACAAGAATCACTTTGGTTTCTTTACACCAACACTCAATCATCAATATTAACAAGAGGATGTTCCTCAGTGATACATGAATACTCTACAAAAAAAAGATTAAGAAAAGTGCAAATTAGGCTTGGTATCCATGTGATTCCATATTTTCTGAGCCATCAAAATCTTCCTGTATATGAAGATAGCCATGAATAAAGCCATACTTTTTGGGCCATCAAAATTCTGATGGTCATGAACAAGAAAAAAGAATAAAAAACAAAAAACTTTACCTGGTTCCATACTTTCAAGTTCATCTAAACTTTCCTCTATATGAAGATAGTCTTGTGATCTTCGTAGCCAATCTTGTCCGCAAATGATAGCTCACACCATTCTTGGAGTTAGAAAACTATGAAACAAATCAAGCACACAACTTCTAGTGCTAAAAGCTGA